GGTCCCCCGGTGGCCGCGGGGGGCGCTGCGGGGCCGAGGCCGCGCCCGCCGCCCCTTCCGCCGCGTTGGTGCCGGGCGGGGCCCGCAGGGGGCGCTGGCCCGGCCCGGCCCCGTCGCCGGCCCCGTTCCCGTTCCGGCGGGCGGAGGGAGCGCGGCGGGAGCGGCCCCGGGAGGCGCCGGGGACATGCCCGGGCGGCCCCGGGGACACCCGCAATAGTCCTCGCTGTCGGCGGCGCTGGGCGGGGAGCGGCGGGCGAGCTGCCCCCTCCTCTCCCCCCCCTCCTCCTCCTCCCCATGGAGGGGCCGTACGCGCTGGGGGTGAGCGTGTTCTCGGACCAGGGCGGCAGGAAATACATGGAGGACGTGACCCACATCGTGGTGGAGCCCGAGCCGCCGCCAGGGCCGCACAAAGGCGGAGCGGCGCCCGCAGGCCCCGGCGCCGCCGAGCCCCCGGCCGAGGGCGGGCGGCGCCGGGGGGGGGGGGCCCCCCCGGGCGGCCGAGGGGGGAGCGCAGCCCCCCGGCAGCGGCCCCGGGCGGCGGCCCCGCCGCTCCGTCGCGTTCTTCGCCGTGTGCGACGGGCACGGCGGGCGGGAGGCGGCCCAGTTCGCCCGGGAGAACCTGTGGGGCTTCATCAAGAAGCAGAAGGGCTTCGGCTCGGCCGAGCCGGCCGAGGTGTGCGCGGCCCTGCGCAAGGGCTTCATCGCCTGCCACCGCGCCATGTGGAAAAAGCTGCGTAAGTCCCGCACCCTCCGCTCCCTCCCGCGGGAGAACCGACCCCGCCATCCCCCTGCGCTGCTCCGCGGTTTAGCCGCCTTTTCCTTCCCCCCGCCCTATTGTGAGTTCCCCCTCCGTCTCTGCCCCCTCCGTCTCTGCCCCCTCCGTCTCTGCCGTCCCTGTGCCGGGAACGGGGAGAACGCGGGGTGGGATCCGAGGTCTCGGCTCGACTGGTTCGGTGGAACAAGAAAAACTGGAGCGCGGGCTGCGAGAGAAAAGATGTAAACACGGGGCGGTGAGGACGCGCTGTTGTGTAGCTGGGAATGGTGTGATGGGAGAGGTGCGGTTTGTTTTCGGCGTGTTACAGGTCGGATCTCCAAACCGGATTTATTTGCAGGTCTTCGCCTTGTTGCCCTGGGGAATTGCGCGGGACTCCCGCTTAGATTTCCCTCGGATTATTTAAAAAAAGATAATTTTGACAAACCGGGCTGAGACGGCGTTTTTTCCCCTAAGTGTTTTCCTTCCAGTTGTTTTTGTGATGGAAGGACTGAAATGTGGGTGGTGTATAACGGGTATTCGTGTTGTTGTGTGAGCATCGGGGGTTATGCGGGGTCCCTGCCAAAACAGAAAACACGCTCGGTATCCTGAATATTCTGTATATTGTTTGCTTAACTGCAGGAGGATAGAATAACTACAGGGGTCCTAAATAAGGAAGGGTAAAGGAGAGAGAGTGCCCAGACAGGTGACAGTCATCATTCCTGTGCTATTTCTTCTCCCTGCGTCTAGTGAGACTGAAGAATTGAGTTTCTGAAAGGTATTTTTTTTCTGGGTAAGGTGAAGGTTATGGTTTAGAGTATGGTTATTGTTCATATAGGATGTGTAGAGTGTGTGTGTACTGTGTGTGGATTTATGTGTTCAAAAGCCTCAGGAAGAAAAAAATACAGCAGCAGCATCCAGCATATGAAGACAGAAGGGTGTGGAACACAGGAAAATCGGATCCAAAACACCGTGACAGAATGACAGTTGGGCTTGGGAGGGAAACCTGAAAAGCAAGAACTGCACTCTGGGCACCCCCGGGGGATTTCAGTGAAGTGATTCAAGGGGTGGGGGGGGGATTATAACGTCAAAACAGTTTCGTTTTCCTTTTTCTTGAACAGCAAAATGGAGAAGTTGTGCAAATGTCAGATGCTTGAGAAATGCAGGGGAAGGAGTAGCAGGGGCGAGGGCACTCTGTGCGGAGAGGAAAGGGTGTGTGAGGTTTAGGAGCAGCAGAACTTGCCCACAGCCCTGATGTTGGGGTGGGTGCTCTCCTGGGCTGCAGAGCTGGGTGATAAGATGTGTGAGCAGGGGAAGGTGGCATGGGGGGGAAGATAAGGAGTTCAGTTTTCTGGTTGTGGTATCCCTGGTGTTCTATTTGTCACTGGGACCAAGGGCAGAGAGGTGAAGTGCCAGAGTGCAGGAAGCCTTGTTTTAGTAATGAGTGTTTAGCAATTACCACCGGGGCTGTGGAAGCAATTTAAATTGTTGGGAGAAACAACATCGGCTCTGGCTGTGAGTGTTTGATGACAGTTCGAGGTGTTTTGTAAACTCCAGAATATGTTCGGCCTTCCTGATTTGTGCTGCGCGTGTGGGGGTGACACTTTGGGCATGAAATGGAGAACTGGGTATTTTGGTATCTTGGAAAGTCAAAGAACAGCTTGGAATTGTGGTGTGGGGGATGGAGACTTCACTGCTTCCAGTTGGAAGAGAAGCCCACACTCTGCTGCTCTGTGGGTTGTTGGAAGCTCTGGGATCACCCCCTGCGTCTCCTGGGATAGACACAAAACACACTGATTGTGAGAGTACCAGAAAAATTAAACCAGGAAAACACCCCTTTGGCATTGCTGGTAATTTTTGGCGTTAATTCTGTAGCAATAAAAATTTGTACTGAAGAGCTTCTGGAGTAAAGGTTCATGTTGGAAGCTACAAATCCAGTTTATGAGTTTATGGGCTCAAAGTTACAAGGCTGAGTGAAGGGTAGAGGGGAAAGTTGTTGTAGGAGGATGTTCTTGCTCAGGTGACAGGATTGCTGAAGACACGCTCCTGGTACCCGGAGGAGGGGGTGAGTGGCTTCAATTCTAATACTTGAGGTCAGAAGAAAACTCAATGGTTTTGCTGCTTCTGCTGATTTCTAAATGTCCTAAGAGAGAACTGTGCTGGGTCTAATAGTTCTCTCTGCACAGGAGCAAGGCACGAAGTGCAGTCCCTGCTGAGCAGCAGATCAGATCTGCTTCTGTTGAGCCTAAAATCTGAGGCTGCTCTGTCAGTCTTTTTCTCACAAGTGGGTGATTTCCCTCTCTGTCTCCTGTCCCCGTAAAGACTGATTTGACTCTCTGATAGGTTTTATTGCTGTTGAGGGGTTGTTCCACTGACAGAAACTCATTAGTCTCAGCTTGTTTTCTGTTAAGTGCATGGTTGAAATCCTCATTACCACTTGGCTCCCTCCCTCGTTTGCCTCCCATTTGGAATGTGTTACATTTAATATCCACAGTTAAAATTGCCAGACAAAGTGCTTCCAATAAGCTGATTGAATGTTTGTGTTCCTGAAATAAAGCTACTCCGAGGGAGAAAGTGTGGTTTAGTGTTTAGAACACAAAGCTAGAACGCTCTTAGAGCTTAAATGTTTAAATTGGGCTGGATGTCTCGGTAGCTCACGCCGAGGGAATGCAGCTTTTACCTTCATCCTGCCTATAAATTGTGCTTCTCCTTCAGCACTTTTCCCTCAGGCATCTGAACACTAGAACTTAAATTCCTCATTTTTTGGTTCTGCTTAAAGCCGTGGAAGTTTAAAAAAATCTGTATCTTCGCAGAGGGCAAGGAGTAATTGTGTTGAATTCTTCTTTTCTTGTCTGTTTGTTTGTGGTGTGTTTGTTGTGTCCCAGGAAAGCAGAGAGCACAGTGCTCTGGCAGCCTGGCTGGGGTATTCCCTGCAGACAGCTTGTGTCAGGGTGGAATTCCTGCCTTGTGAGCCTGACTTGTGAAGTGCAGGAGATAGAATGTGACAGGGAGATGAGTCGCCCTGGGGAGTTTGTCTGGAGACGTGAGTGGGTGCAGTGAAGAGGAAACAGGAGGTTGCTGTTGACAGTTGAAATCAGCTGATAACTGGGAATTGGAGTTGGGATTTTGGGTGGGGAGGAGGTGCTTTGGCTGAGCTGTCTGAATGGGGATGTCTCTGTGGAGGTTTGGGAGTAGATGTAAAAATAGAAAAGGCACGAAAGGGAAATTTGGGTTGGACATAAATGGGGAGAGCAGTGTAATAGGAAGTTAATATCAGTGGTTTGAGGGCAAAGCAGCTGAGAAAGGAGGAGATTTCCTTAACCATGTGTAGCTGGCAGCAGTGTAGGGATGTTGTTGCTCTGGTTTCAAGGGGTATCTCCTGTAGAAGTTGGATGTTGGGTTAAGGAGAGCATCTCTAAACAATCTGCATCAGTCCTCTCAAAGGAAATGTGGGTAAACCGGTTGAGATGTTGCTCAGCCTAAATGTTTGTTGTTCAGCTATAAAAATAAAAGAACACTTTCCTTCCTTCCAAGGGGATCAGGAATGTCCAGAAATCCTGATTGCCAGTCCAGTATCCAGATAAAATAATGGAATTCATGACATTTTTACTCCTTCAGGCAGAGAAATGAGCAGTAGATCTTAATGAAGCACTTGATGGTTCCTGTTTGAGGAGCACACCTTCCCCCGGGTTCTTCTAGTGGTGCTTGGAATATTAAGCCAGAGGAGGCAGTTTTTTGAATCCTGTTCTGGTGCTTTGGTAGTGGCTTTATCTCCACGTTTGTGCCAATTGAAGCTGTAGCTCAGACTGCTGTGAGGGGAGTGGGGGTTCCCCGGGGGCACTGCTCGCCCTGGCCCTGCTGTGGTTAAGCCCAGCCCGTGTTGTAACATCACACAAGCCTCTGGCACAGCCTCCACCCTGACCTTCAGGACGTTCCCAGCTCCAGAGAGTTAAAAACGTGCCTTTCCTTGGCCTTTTCTCTCCCTGCAGCAGAGTGGCCCAAGACCATGACGGGCCTGCCCAGCACGTCGGGGACGACGGCGAGCGTGGTGATCATCCGGGGCTCCAAGATGTACGTGGCCCACGTGGGGGACTCAGGGGTGGTGCTGGGAGTCCAGGATGACCCCAAGGACGACTTTGTGAGAGCTGTGGAGGTCACACAGGACCACAAGCCAGAGCTGCCCAAAGAGAGGGAGAGAATCGAAGGCCTTGGGGGCAGGTGAGTGTGTGTCTGCTCTGACTGAGCTTAAGCTTGTTTTGAGAGGGTCATGCAAGAAGCTGAATCTCACAGTGTATTTCTGTTGTCCTCTGGGTTTTTTATAGCTTGTTGGGGAATATGTTACAGTGATCCATTGTTACGTGGTTGGGTTTTTTTGCTGGTGGTTTATGGCATATACAGAATTTTAATTTCCTGGTGGATCGCCCAGCTGAGGTGTGCTTACAGTTCTGTGTGTTCACCCAGCACTTTGAAAGTGGAGATGGTGATATCTGACCTATTTTTTTGTTAAATTCCAAGGAATCTGTGGGTTGGGAAAATTATCTTTGCACATAGAGAAAATTATCTTTGCAGATAGGGAAAATTACCTTTGCATATAAGTAAAGTGATCCGAGGTCTGGAATACTGGGTTTGTCGGATTTTACACCAACCACTGTAATTTCTCAGGTGTTCTGCATTGTTCCTGAGATGACAATGGCAGCTGTTGAGTGGGCTCCTCAAAGCTTCTGCATAGGGAACATAAAAAAAAAAAAAAAGGTTAGATTTGAAACCCAGTCCTGTTTGGATTCACTGTGTTTAAACCCCCGCTGTAAATGTCTGAATGCCGTGTCTGGGCAGGAGTCAGGAGCTGGCAGAGGCTGGAATGCCCAAGCTGGGGTGGGTGTGTGTCCCCTGTGGGTGAGGGGGAAGCAGGCAGGGCTGTCAGGTGGCACAAATGTTTGGGCACCAACCTCAGGGCTCGTGTTTGGCGGAGCTTCCCAGGAGCTCAGGGAGCTCAGCGCTCCCGCGGTGCCGCGGCAGATGGGTGGGCACTGGGTGGGCACGGCTTCCTTCCCAGAGCAGGGCTCTGCAGAGGCTTTCCTGTTGCCATCACTCATGTGAGAGCCCTGTCAGCCCATTAACCTTCAGACATTTGTGTCTCTGTCAGCTGGGGCTCCATCAGGTGGCTCTGCAGAAGGGGGAACCTGCAGTTCCCGCTGGGTTAGTCCCTGTGCACGTTTCCAAGTTGTGCATCTCAGAGACTGAAAGTCTCTGAAGCTTCAAAGCAGCATTCCCTGAAGCTTTGTGTCTACAGGAATGCTTAATTTGGTTTTGAGGTTTTTTTTGTTTTTGTTTTTTATTTAATCTTTTATTTCTACTGGTGCTCCTCCTGTTTTTCCCAGGCTGGCTGTGAGGCAAATGGTAGGAATGGAGTGGAACTGTGCAGCTGTGCCTGGTAATGTCCTCTCTTTCATGAGAGCAAACTGGGAACAGTTAAGGGCAGAGCATAATTGGATCTTCCATTAAAATGAGATTTTTCCTAGTAACAGTCTGAGCGTGGGATGAGGTTTTCTTTCAGCTGATGACTGAAGTGAGCTTTGTGTGGTCATTAGTTGGACAAGTGGATGAGATCAGTTTTTAGGATGTGGTGTTTGTGACTTTGCAGTGCTGTGGATGGAGCTCAACATGCCCTTGTTGTTAAGGCTTTTGAAGTCTCAGGAAGTGCATCTTGAATGGCTTCAGTATGAGGAATCTTGAGGCCGTTCCAGAGCTGCTCAGTTCCTAATTACCAATGGCTGTTCCTCGGATGAAAGGAACTTCCAAGTATCCAGTTCTTAACTTGTCTGGGACCAAGCTTTGCTAGCTCCTGGTTTCATTAGCTCTTATTCCTTGGCTGTTCATACACTGTTCTTTCTTCCCTGCCTGATGCAGCTGCCCCAGTTATTTGCTCTGCAGCTTCTCTGACCCCCCAGTGCCATCTGTGAGAGCCAAACCAGCTCAGTGCCTCAGAGCAGGTGTTCACATGCAAATACAGAGCTGTTTCCTCCCATCTCCTGCTTCCAGCAGACAGCAACTGGCAACAATTCCCCTTTTGTGTCTGCAAGGGAATCCCTTCAGCAGGCTGCTCCTTTCTCTTCTCTTGTTTCCACTGTGCTGTGCTGCTCTTTGCTGCCAGGCTCTGGGAGATGGAGAAAGCTGCAGGAGGAACTCCGTGGTAAATCCACCTGAGTGAGCTGGTGTTGATGGCCCTCGGATGAGGGGGGCAAATTCAGTTCTGTTCTTTTTCTGACCAAGAGTTTCTTCCAATTCTTCATTCCCCTGCTTTTTATTTTCTTCTGCCCTTCACCTCTCACTTTTCCCTTTGGCTGCATATGGAGTGAAGCTCTCTGAGGGACACGGTGTGTTTTGAAACACTTCACTGTGCCGTGGACTGCCCCGAGGGCCTTGCCATTATCGCCTCCGGATTTGCATATTTAACTGGCTTTGTCTCCTTTGTTCCTGTGTGACCTCTGCCTCTCTCTGGTGCTTCCAGCGTGATCAACAAGTCCGGAGTGAACCGTGTGGTGTGGAAGAGGCCCCGGCTGAGCCACAACGGCCCCGTTCGCCGCAGCACCGTCATCGACCAGATCCCCTTCCTGGCCGTGGCCAGAGCCCTGGGTGAGTGCTGTGCTGGGGGCAAACATGGAGTTTGAGGGATTCAATCACTTGCTTTTTTGCAAGCCTGGGTCTTTTAAATATATTTTTTAATACAATCTGGATTTATTTTTTTGAAATCTGTAAAAGGCGGCGTCGGTGAGAGAAGAACCCACCTTAAAACTGTCAGGGTTTTCAGTGTCAGCCTTACAAGGATGGGACTTAATTTCTGGTGCAAATGAAAATGTATAAGCAGCACATTGTCTCCAGGGTGGAGAGCACCTTGGTCTTTTTCTTGCTGAGATAACAGGACTGGAATTTTTGGCTGGTTGGTAAAACTTAAATGTTGCTGGATGGCACATGAGTTCAGTCTGTCCTTTGTGGTGATTCTTTTCTCTTTAAGACTTAGCACAGAATGGGATGAAAGTCAAGTCTGTGTTTTATCTGTTAACTTGCCTTTGTGGGAGCACTAACAATGGGAAACTGTCTTTGAGAAACACTTTATTCCAAGGACAAAAAGGCATATTGCAGTACTGGAAAACTAGTGACGAATGGTTTTTGGGAAGTGCTTCATAACTGAATCACTGGATGCCTCTTACCCATGAGTGTTGGTGTCTGCTGGTTATTTTTTCCCTTAAAACACAGGGATCTGTCCAGGCTTAAGGAGAACTTAAGGAAAATTTAAAAGCCAGATCCGTATCAAAGTGGTGGAATGATGATCTTATAAAATTTTAGTTGCATGGACATTTTCTCAGTAGCTTCAAGCCTTTATGGGCCATATTTTGGGTAGGACAGAGTTTATTTTGTGGTTAGTAAAACCGACTGGGGAGTTGGAGTAAATCCTTGGAAGAGTCTTTGGCATCTTCAACTCATGGCACAGAAAGAATCCTGACCCAAGAGAAACCTTGTGGCCAGATGAGCTCTGTTAACAGACATCCCCTTTCCTGTTCTGATTGTCACAAGTGCCCTCCTGCCCTAAAATAAGCATTTGTGGAATGCTTAATTCCACTTAAATACAGTGGCTGTATTTAAGTATCTAAATAATGTTTAATTTATTTATAGTCCCAGAACAAGGCAGAAATATTTGGGCTGCCTCCTGTCCCTGTGAAGCATCTTTAAGCTTCTTTTGCTGAATCCAGCAGGTTTCTGTGCCTTCTAATGGAATATTTTAAGCTGTAGCAGAGTATTCTGCATTTTCACAGCTATTTCTGCTGACCTTTTCTGGGCAGTGAAAACATCTCTTTTTATACCAATTTGCCTCCTAATAGATATGAATCCCAGGCAGTCCCAGAATTGGAAATCTGGCTCTGTGTGTAATTTTGGAAGGTGCTGCACTAAGTAGGGGATGTAGAGAGAGAAGCTACACTTGGTATCAGTTGAAACAAGAAGCAAGTGTAGGAAGGAGCAGACAAGCAGGGTGATTAATGGCTGGGCTTTGGGGGTTCCTGCAAGTGCAGCTTAAAGTCATTGTGGTTTTCCTAAGCTGCTGTTTAAGTTCATATCCCCCAGCCCGGGTGAGTTCACTGGTAACAGTGTGGTGGCAGAAATGGGGCTTTTAAAGGGCTTTTTTTAAATCATGTGGGATCTCTCTTGTTGGTAAATTAGCTCAGCTCTAAGTCTGGTAAATATTTTATGGACTTTTTTCCCTGTTCCCCTCCCCTTTTCCTTGGGAACTGATGTGGAGCCAAGAGCTGCAGCTGTGAGTGGGTTCTGTGGGGAGGGATTGCCCTGAAGTATTGGAGCTGTTTGGGGGTTGTTTAAATTAATGAATGATGAAAGCTGAGCCAAAAACCCCTTAGTTAAACCCACCAGTCACGTGGGAACGTGAGCCATCCTTTCCCTGGATTTTTATATACAACTATAATAGACTCAGCCCTGTATTTCAGGTAGGGCAGCCTCTGCAGTGCAGGTTGGACTTTTCCTAAGAGCAGGAATTCCCTGCTGCCCCCTAAAAGGAGTTGTGTGCTAGCACAGGGAATCCCTGGATAGCTGCAGGAATGTTGGCTCTGACAGGGACAGGGAAGCTGTTTCCCAGAGCAACTTCCTGGATGCCAGAGTTTTGTGAAGCTCCCTGAATGCACATTCCATGAAACCCCGGGGGGAAGAGGGTATTGCTGACCTCAGATGATCTCAGTAGACTCCTGTATGATGGTCCAGGTTTTTTACATGCATTTAACTATTATTTTACTGGAGTCTGCCTCTCCTTTGGCAGTGTAGAAAAGCAACCACAAACCCTTCTCCCAAAGGCAGAACTTCAGCCAGGTTTGGGCAGTGCATTCTTTGGGTTTGCCCCTTCTCCAGCTGAGCAGATGCTGCCCAGGATTGGCTGTTGAAGCCTCAGATTCCACCCTGGTGTTCATTTGAAGGATTTAGTTCCAGGCCAGCCACTGGGAGTAGCTTCCTGCAGGTCATTTGAGCTCTTTGCCTCTGCTTTTGCAAGGAGTTCTTGCAGGTTTTCTCATTCCATCCCCCTGCCACGGGCAGGGACACTTCCCACTAGCCCAGGTTGCTCCAAGCCCTGTCCAACTTGTTCTTGAGCACTTCCAGGGATGAACAGTGCTTTAGGAGCAGCTTTTGATTCACCATTCATTTAAAATGCAATTATTTGTGTAATTTGCTGTTGAAATACTGTTCTCTTAGCTGTGCTCTGCTTTTCTGTTGAGGGTGGCATCCTTTCTACAGGTTTGACTGAAATAGTGTGTAAATAAAACAAGTTCCTAAAAACACACTGCTCAAGGAGTGCAGGAAGTTTTAAAGCCTCAGGTGCTTCTGTGTCACTTCTCTGCTTGCTGTCCCTGCAGTTTAGTCCCCATCTCTCAGCCTGAGCTCTCCTTAATCATTCCTGATTGGAAATCAGGATGGGACACTGCTTCCATTCCTCCCCTCGTGGCTCCAGGCCTGGTTTGCCAGGAGTGCAGTGAAAATCCCCCCCCCAGCTCAGCCTGACTGCTTTCCAGTGGTTCCTGTCCTCATCCTTGCAGGGATTTGTCTCACTTCCCCCAGCTCTGCTTCCCTGGCACTGGAAAAAAAAGGGAAGTTCTGCAAGTCTTCCCTTTGTAGCAACAGCCCTGTCAGATAAAACTGGGCTTTGGAAAGCTCTGGGATTAATCAAACCGGGTTTTTGGTTTGGACCCACTTATAAAAGTCAACTTTTCTTTCCCCTGTTAAAACCAAAAGCTGTTTTTGTATTTTGTATGCAAAGCAGCATCTCCTGAAACAGGAATGAAAGGCTTGATTTATGTGACTTCTGGACATGCTTTGCTCTAAGAAGGCTTTGGGTTTAATCCAGTCCAGCCCTTTTACATGATGGGTGTTTTTGTTTGGAGCTTCAGTTGCCTCCCTGGCAGCAGCTGAGCTACAAGTGGGTTTTTTGTTGTATTTTAAAAGTTAGCACTGAGCACGTAAGAGAGACTGCACAGTTTGATATATTCTCATAGGCAGCTAAATTAGAGTCCTACTCCTTCAGTATCTGATTTCAAACATCTCTCTCATTTTGTAAGATGCAGTATTTTAATGTGGATCTCTGTATATTATTCAGGTTTTAGCCAGCACTGAGAAACAGGTATGACTTTTCTGGAAGATGCAGAAGGAACCACATTAATAACATTTTTTTTCATGCTTTGGAAAAGAAATATGCAAAGGTCACACTGGAAGGAATATTCCCAGTGTGTAAAGTCTTTAAAGAAGGAGATTGTTAAAGAGTTCTGTAAATGTTTGGGTTTTAATTCAGAACAAAAATAGTCTGGCTCCCAGAAGGGAGTCAGAGCCTGGCATTGCAGTGCTGTAACAGGAGCCTTTGGCACATCCCAGCGTCACAGGATCCCTCCTTCCCAGCCAGAGGGTCACTGTCCTTCTGCTTGCTTTGGAACAGAATTAAACATTTCAGAGCCCTTTGAAATGCTCAGGGAAGAGTGTGCTGTGCCTCCTGCCTGGCCTCCCTGGCCCTCTCTCCCCCCCAGGGCTGGGGCAGAGGCTGCCCCAGGAGGAACTCTCCAGGTTTGTGATTCCCCAGCTCTCCAGGTTTGTGATTCCCCA